AACCAATTAGGTTAAGTTCAATTCATAAATTCCAACACAAAATATTTAGCTCATTTCATAAAGATGATAACAAAGGAGATATTCATCAAATACATTATAAGTTTGACAAATAAAATGAGAAAATGCAAGATTTAAAGATATAACCCTTGATGATTAAGCTTGAACTTGCTTCCTCCAAAGTTTTGCCAATTCCTATGGTGTCTCCTCCCTTGTGCTCTATGATTTCTCCTCCAAATGAACCAAGAACACAACAAAAGAAAAGAAACGAAAGGAGAAAGAGAGAAAAAGCTAGAAAGAAAATAAAAATAAAAAAAATAAAAACTAATCTAATCTATCTACCCAAAAAAAAAGGTCCCCAGCCATTTAATATATATAGGATAGATATTTTGGTTGCTTAGTCAAGAAGAAATCAAAATATCCTAGGAAAAATTGCAACTAAAGTCCTCAAACCTTTGGAAAGTGAGCAAAATGGTCCCTAAACTTTAATCTTGTACAATTTGACCCTTGAATTTTGATTTTCATTTCAATATTGCCATCAATAAATTGCATCTCAATGTCTTCCAACATTCGGCACTTGTGCAACTTGGTCCCCTACTTCACATTTTTGTACATTTTTAGTCATTTTTCTTCCTTTTTAGCCTCGTTCTTCTTCCAATCGGGGTTTTAGCCTACAAAAGTGAAAATTACATAATTATGCATAAAAATATACTCAATATCATTTCTAATTAAATCCAGAAAAGTGCGAATTAAGTATGTTTTTACACACTTATCAATATACTTAGAATTTTGCCATACATGTTTAATTGATGGGCACAGCGCAAGGGACAAGACACAAAAGCAATTTCGTGCTGCTCTCCAAGTTAGCTGCATGTGTGTGTATATATAGTGCACTCTTATTGAAGTTACTAATCAACCACAGGTTAGAAATCTCATTCTAAAGTTGTTTTTGCAAAGTCAGTAAACTTTCAAATTTTTGCTTTTGCTTATGTTTGAAGTGGTAAATTATTGACGTTAGTTTAAGCCATGTCAAAAAAGTTGTCACTGAATTTCCTAGTATCTTGACAGCATCGACCAAGTAAAAGACTCCAAAGCGAGATAGAGACAAAACTGTAACCAGTTAGCCCTATGAGTTTTCATGTTAGATGCACAGATACGATAAGACATGTCTCCTCATTCGATGCAAAATAACCTTTTGATAAAACTCAAGGAATGCGCACACAACATTATAGAAAAGGCTATTTATCAGGTGAAGATGTAACAATGTTAGCTACAAAGATCACTTGAGCTTTCAGCTAAAGGACCTTTGCTTACCTGGAGAAATTAGGTCTAAACTTTCATAATTACTGGTGCCAGGACCTGACTTGGCCTCACCACTCCCACTTCGTAGTCTTTCTAGCTTTTGTTGACGAAATATCAAGTTGAAAAGGCAAAACTTAACACGAATTTGCTCATTTTCTTTATTTTAGACGTTTAAAATTTTTAAGAGATAAGTTTTTGCGTGCAATGGGGGAAAACATATTCGCTTGGCCATTTATACACCATTCCTAATGGGAAAGGGAAGAAAAATATTGACATCCATCAAGATTCAGGGAAATAGAGATGAGCGTATATGTTCACAACCTCTTTTCTTTAACAGATAATTAGCAGTAAAGTGTCGCTACAGAACATTGCATGAAAAAACTATAAATGACCACGAAACTTCTTGCAGACAGTAAAATATCACTATAAACTTTGCATGTGGTATTTGGTTTCGGGCTATGCTGATTCATTGACAAAAACATTGTTCGTATGCATTCCCATCATTCAGAACAGAGAACCAGGAGAAATATCACAATCTAATTAAATTAACGTATTCTTCCAACCTTCATTACAACTAACAGACCACCTTTTTTTCAACAAAATAACGGTCATTATAGGTTAAGCATCCTTCGAGTGTCAGGAAGTAGCCATTTAGGCAAAGTACTCTCCTACTGAACTTATCACTGCTAACAAATTTACAGAGGATAGTTGAGTGACAATCCATTCAAGAAAGTCAGTTGCCTAACAAAATTATCAAGGACTTTGTAAGTGCGACCCTGAAATATTTTGATTCCCAATACTAGCATTTTCTCTTTCTGCCATGTGAGGATGATTTTAAACTAGGTTTTTTGGTCTTCAAACTCTTACCCTTGGATCTATATATTGCATCATCACTTTCATCATCAGACTGTCTGCGTTTCTTTTCACCCTTTCCGCAAAGAATAATCATCTTTTCATCTCCTTGTAGTTCAGATTCAAACTTCTCCTTGGGCCTCCATATGAAAATTGATCTGAAAAAGCAATATAATCCAATGACATTGCAGTAACATCAACAATGCTAGACAAACAAACAACCCTAGACAATCCTCAAAATACAAGGGTGATAACCCCTCCCCGGTAAGAGTTAAACCTGCAATCACTTGCAAATAGGTTACCCTAAATCACAAATACAACTTTTGGTCTCCTAAAAAGTAAAACACAATGAGAATGAACCAACATAGTGTCTGCTTTGAAATTAAAGGGTGAGTAATTTTGTCGAGCAAGTTAATAACAAGGTAAAAATGGAGTAGAAAAGAGAAAATCAGAAGATAATAACATGTCCTAACGATAGAAACTTTAATTGGAAAATAAAATAAAAGACACCATGTACTAGAAGGAAGAAGAGAAATTCTGCACAAGTGTATTTGACCTTAGAAGAGCAGAAGAATAATTATAAGGTAGCCTCCCCCAAATCATATAAAGATAAACCCACATTGCCACCATATTAAATCTTAAACTCCAACTAGTTGAAACCAATATACAACATTGTTTTTCAATTTGCAAGCAAAATAAAAGTGCTACAAGTGCCAAATAATGTCAAAAACAAAGAATCAAAGAAACACTATATCATTAAGGAAAATAAATTGACCTCTTCCTACATACAAACCTTGAACTACCAGATGCCAAAACATCATCATGAGGATGTAGCTTGTTCACAGGACTGATTGTAGTGATGTTTGGATCCATTACCGCAGCAACTAACTGACCTGTACTGATGTCTATAAAATCAATAGGATGCAATGCTGCTCCATTATAATTTTCACTTATATAACGCCCAATAACAACGAGGCACTCAGATGGGTCCTGCATAGAAGTACATATTCCATCACGTATTGAATGTATACAACATACAAGTCATTTTATACATATTATATAACACCTTTTCAAGCTATTAATGAAGGATTGTTCACCTTTGGATCCCATTCCGCTCTGAAAGGTGTCAAATGTCTATTAAAATCATGACTATGCACAATTTCTCGGCTTGGGGAATCCATATTGCCAAAGATAGAATCCCATACACGAAGGCGATTGTCCTGTGAAGTAGTAAGTATTTTGCTGCCGCTTTGCGGAGAAAAATATGCTGAGTTGACGACACGATTGTGTGCAAGATCATAAATTGAGGATCCCGCTTCTAACTTGCGCATATCCCAAATACGAGCCTGAAGCAGAGGTGTATGGCATCAAAAGGAACAAAGAAAACTAACATTTTCAAGCGATAAACAAATTAGTGAAACATTCTCTAATCAGCACACTTTTCTTGATATCAACGGAGGTGATGGAAGAGCAATAATTATATGACTAATTTCATAAAAAACAGATCACTAAAATAAACTAATAAGGATAAAAAGCTTACAAAGTGATCATTTCCACAACTCAACAGAAGATCTGGTTGATGAGGATGGCAGTGTAGACCAGTAACTTTGCTTCCTTTCTTGTGAATCAAAACAGGGTCCCCCATTGTGCTGTTGGAGCGCATATCCACCCTAACATGTTAATAAAAGAAAAAAATATCCAATTTAGTGCAAAACATTGTTGGATAAGCTAGCATCCATATCGATAAAGTGACTGCATAAAATCCACATCAAAAGACATTATATAACAAACCTAAGCTCTAGTGCCAGGAAGGGGGAAAAATCTCACTTCCTCATAATTTCTTTCTGTTCATGTTTAAAGTCGAGTTGTCAACAACTTCATTCATGGGTTCTACTTAATTCAAACATTCAACACCAGACCACGCAATTAAACAGCAAGCTTAAAAATAATTTAAACAAAATGGGAAAGTCGAAGAAGACCTCATACAACTGTCTTACAATGTTACTATTTAGCTCCCTGATTATAATAATTAATCCATGAGACTCCAAAATAATCGCCAAAAGTAGACATTTGCGGAAACAAAATATCAAATTAGCTAAATAACCAATGTATTCTTATTATCCAACAAGAAAATGAAAACATTAGCTCCCTAAAGGATTAAAAACACCACTGGTCACTAAACTTTTTAGCAAAAAATTTATGTTGATCTTCACTTTTTCCAAGTTGATAATGAACTTCAACTTTGTTACAATTGGGTAACTCAATCGTGTTTGTTAGTTTGACCAACAGAAAGCTTGTGTGGCCCTCTAGTTATTTGCAAAGAAAACTGTTACATCAGTTTTTCCATAGTCAAATTAACATAAATGGATGGAGCGCCTCAATTGTAACAAACATTTTTGGTTCAGTAACATAATTGCAACTCTCGAGAAAGCTAAGTGATCAACTTGGTACCAAATAAAGTTAATAACCAACATGAAATTTCGCCAAAAAGTTTATTGAAAACCAGTGTTTTTAAACCACTCCCTAAGACATGATTTTACACAAACTAAAGGATAGAGCTTATATTTACATATAGAGAGATCCAAAATTATCTGCAGCAACTAAATTTCCTCTCTGAGAGTTTATATCCAAACCATAGAGCATTCTCCAACTGCTTGAGCCCTGTATGAAAACCGTTAAGGAACTCGTACTTGTTAGTGAATGTACATTTATCACTTCACAGAATATAATTTTTCATCTATAAACATATTTAAATGTAAGACCCAAACAAAACCCCCACCCCCACAAAAGAAAAACGAGAACGGTAAAGAATTAGGAAATAAGAAAGTAACTCATGCAGCAAATTGCTTTTTGCCATTCCCCTACTCTTGTGGGGTTGTTCAGGTGTTTTCTTTTACTGCTTCTACTGCAGCTACAATTAGTTCTTTTTTGTGTTGAGAAGATGTACTACTATTTTTCCTTTTTTGTGTGTTGAGAGGAGGTTTTCCAGTGGTTACAAGTACAAAACAATCAAAATCTGAAGTTATCTAAAAAAACTGGGGCTCAGATCAAGAAATTTCAATACTTCGATATAGATCTAAAATGAGTCATTATAGATAACATTATATCCAAAATGGAATGCTTAAACCTAAAATTAATTCAAGTAAATCAGTTTCTGAGCTTCAAAAAAGAGAAAGCACTTGTCCAGAACCATGGATACTTATCATGAACTTGTATTGTATTTACCTTCAAATATATTATGGAAGAAAAGATGGGTAATGCTTATTCAAAAGAAGCTTTATATTCACATTACATAGAGTAAAAACTCATTAAAATTAAAGATTTGAAGGTTATGACAGATTCCACAGAGGACCATCTCAATTTTCACAAATTTAATTATAGCTTTTAAGCATAGTACCAGGGCATGAAAATATCAGCCAGTTGATCTAACATGAAATCAATTTATCAGCATCTTGATCAAAATTCGCGACCAAAATTTGCGCCACAAAGTAGATAGTTACTTTCTTCATGAAAAATAAAGAAGTACCTGCCACCCATTAGGATTAAGATTTATCAATCCCATTGACATTCCAGTCTCCAAATCAGTGCAGCTGATAGTTCCATCCGAAGAAGCACCATAAACTGTTCCATCATTTGTTGGATTAAACCTATACATGATAAAGCAAGTTATGCACAAAAAGGAATAACCAAAGCAGCACACATTTATTTTAGTACATATAACCACACAGAAGTAAAACTCACTTCAAGTTGTTAAGTATGCAACCATGTATGTTCCCATATACTGTCTTCTCATGTACTCTTTTGAAATCCCAAACTCCAAGCTGCCCTTTCTTTATCACAGTGCAGGATTGAAAGCCAACGATCGTAAAATGATATAATCCTCAGAGAAGAAAACTGACAGGTAAAGAAGATAGTGAACGAAGGCAAACCTTGTCTCCAGATAAAAGAAAATTATTATTTGTTGGATGGAACTCCAAGCAAGTAACTCGTCTACTGTGGTATCTAATAACTGCACAGTTTACTTGATCTGGGATCACAACCGCGGGCTTAATCTGTTTCAGGAACCAATACCATGCAAAACAACGTGTTAGGTATGACTAATATTTTCACCAAAAGTTGAGTAAAAAACTCAAATATAAGAGAGGAGCTTAAAACATGATTAGTTCCAGTAAATATCACTGAATATTTCACACAGCCCAAAACTTTAAAAGCTGTATTTGACCTAAATTTATTCAAATAACTCCTAATCTTTTTCATCTTAAACACAGTAGTTTATCTAACTAGAATAAACCAATTTCAAAACATTAATTTTAGCCATGGAGAATATTGAGTGGCTCTCTATAGCAATTAATTGTTCGTCGATAAAAATACATAGAAACCAAAGTGCATAAAACCTAAAAGTAGCTAGTAATTTTTATACTTCTATTATAGTTCTTAAAACTAACCCGCATGCAAGCATAAAAAAAAAAAAAAAGGTCAAGTCCCATGAGTGGTGTCTGAGAATATTTAAGATGTTTAAAAAAACCTGAATTTGACAATAACAATCAGATTGAAAGCTGCTTTGTAAATTTCTTGTCATAGGTGCTTCAAAACAGATGACCAGCATAGAGATTGATAAATAACATAACTGTAATTTTAAGGAGGAGGGGGGCGGGGATGAAGTGGCATTGCTATAGTTTTGAAAAAGTAGATGACCAGTGATATTGCTACAATTTTGAAAAAGAGGTGACCAGTGGCATTACTGCAGTTCAAAAGATGTGTTAACTGTGGAATCACTGTAATTTTGTAAAAGGGATGCTCAACACAAGGGATGGCCTACTCAAGTGGATGAACCAAACAGATGATCTATGCAAGTGGAACACCTACCCAAGCATAAGACCCACAGTGCAAGACCTACTGTCAGAAGAGCCAGGCTGGATGAATATACAGGGCCGATACTTATGCAGAACGAACGACAACCCAGTGGCTGGCCTATCGTAACTCAACTGATTTACAAGATTAGAAAAGTCACTTCCCTCTTTCGAGTCAAAGTAATCCTACAAGTACTTTCTGATGCAGGATGCGTATAACTTGACAATCAACAATTAGGAACCAGAAGACAAATGGGTGCAAAGAAGAGAAGAATTAAGGGCAAGAGGAAAATCAATGTTTATTCATATATTCTGATTGTGAATTACCTACTATTCTAAAATGCATTCTACACAAAAAAATAGGGCTCGAACAGGCCCCTAATAAACTATAATTATTTTAAAATATCAAAAGTAATCTAATCTAATCTAATATAATCTAACAAAATATATTCGGAATCGAACTCTTGTTATAAATCCTAAGTAAAATATATCTCTACCTTATTCTTGTCATGATCTCCATCACTTTCCTATTTTAAACAAGCCCTCAAGCTGCTATTCTTCTTAATATAATATATATTACAACCTTCTTAACCATTCACGTGATTTCTTAAAGAATGATAACAGTTTTTGATGTCTTTGTACCTATACATACACATTAAAATATTTTAAGATCTTCAGTTTTTCAGAAGACATTTCATTCTCTTTTGGATTGTTTCACATTGCTCAAAATCTCTGTTATCTTCTCAAAAACCCTCAACTAATGGTTTTAGTCTATTACGTCAGAGTAGGTTAAGCAGAAACTTTCCAGAAGCTTTCACCTATAAAAGTTTTTTGAGACCGTTTCAAAATCAAAACACAATTCAAACCCTTTTCAATTCTGAAATATTGTATCCAACAATGGATATTTGATTATTTATCTATATATGGGGTTTAAGAAGAGTTGATGAGAGTGTCCCCAAAGGTGAAGTTTTGGAAGGAAAAAAGTGCAACAAGTATTTAATCGTGCTAAGGAAATAAATAAATTAGAATAACGTAGATTAGGCAAGAGTACAATTAGATTTATTGTGTTTTCGTATTTGTACTCTATTTCCATACGTGTACTATTGATTTTCTCTATATAATGAAAGAGAAGGAGAGGCAGAGAATTACTTTCTTCTCTCTAATGCTTATGCCAAACTCTTGTTTAAACATGATATCAGAGCCATTTTTTTTTTAGTTTGGTATTTTCTTCCACTTCTTCTTCCCTTGAGCAAACAGCTGATTTCTTCTTCTTTTTCTTTGCCCTTCCACCACTGGAAGTCCCCTCCCTTTTCTATTCTAGCCTTTGTCCCGTGTAGTGAACTCGACCTCCATAGTTGAAAGTGTTGGTGGAGTTGTATTTGATTAAAAGACAATAGAACCTCAGTATGTTGATGACCAGTTGTGTCATGTGTGGCAATAGACGGTGGCCGTGGTAGCAGTGGTTGTAGTAGCAATCGGGTTGCGACAAATCTTTGGTGTCGACTGTTTCTTCTTAATCGGTGATCGTGTAACGGGGTAGTGGTTTTAGTGGGTTTTTCTCTGGTGGTTCTGCAGTCGTTGGTGCGTATTGGGAAGCTGCAAAATTTCTGGTGCCGAATTGGACTTCTTTCTGTTTTCAATCCGACTAGCCCGATGGCTCCTAAAAAATTAAATGAAAGAATTTACACTTAGATGGCTAGGTGTGTCGAGATCTTGCGGGGTAAGTGTTTATTTAACCACTTGATTTTAGACAAGCTGTCTGCCATATCCTCAGAAAATGATTCTACTAAGGCCAATTCTACTCTCAACAATCGGTGGGATCAAGAGGATAACGCAACCATTGGACTTGTGATTAGTTATCGAGTCATCATCGCTCTATATGTCTACAACTAAGCAAATTGGGAACATCTCAAACATATACATTCTGGAACTAGAAATGTTACTTGAATCTATGAGACTTGTAAACAATGCTTTAAGCTTGAGAAGGGCTCCTCCAGCCTCGTTGAATATAAGAAGCTTTTGTCCATGTGTTAGGAAATGAATGTTCATCAACCTCTCTCTCTTAATTTACAGCTTACGGAAAAACAGCGAGAAGACATCGATGTTGTTAAATTCCTTATTGGTCTTCCAACAGACTTTAAGGTAGTCTTCAAAAGAGCTTCCCAGTCTTCTAGAGATATTCTCTCATATTCAACGCTCTACACTATTACATAATACACCGAGCGCAAATCTTTCTGCTTTTATTACTCGGGTTGGCTCATTCGGGGTGTACGTTGTAATTACCCGGATCTTTATACCCAAACCGTTAGCTTACATACTATCCACTTTGGGTGAGCCTATGCCTAGTTACCCCCTCACGACTTTCTATCGCGTCCCTCAAGATTCAAACTCAAGACATCTGTCTAATAAGAGACTTAAGTTGAATATAAACTAGTAGCTAACACTAGTTCAACACTAGAATGTGATTTCTTATTTGTACCACGGGATGAGTATGCTGATTTCTTATCTCATAACCAAGCCACTTCCACTTCTATGCACACTCTCGCTCGATTTTCATCCTTTCAGAATCCATGAATTATAAAAAAAAATCTCTTCTCGTTTTCTCTGTTGTACCGTTCTTCGTGGTTGGAGTTGTCGATTAAGTTGTCTGCTGTGTAATCTGCGCCTTTTGTAGCCTTCGCCCTGGAGGTGTGTTCTCGATCGTGTGGTTGTTTCACGACGGCAGTCGCGTAGTGGTGGTTGGTAGGGATCTCAGTGGTGGTTTTGTGGTGGTCAGGCTGTTGAGTTTCCTGTTCTGCAGTCGCCGGATTCATTGAACAGTGGTCGGCGTCCCAATTTGGTCGGAGTTCTTCCTCAGTGATTGCAATCGCGAGTAGGTTCTACGCGTGTGGGAGTTCCCTTTTTTTTTTTGGGGCTGAGGTTTGGTGATATTACATTGGGCCTGATTTCTGATGGGCCTGTTGTGGTCTGTTTTATTTTCAATTTATTGATTAATGGGCCTAATGAGGTGGGTTTAAGTGTTGTTGGTTTTATTTATTTTTCTTTGGGCCCGTTACTGTTGGTATTATTGTTGCCCATAGTTGGTTGATTTGTGGGTCCGCGTTTTTTTTTTAATTACGGTTAGTAGTTTGTACCATGTCATCTAAAATGGAGATGTTCAATCTGAAGGGGCCATGGCACCTGAAAAATTGAATGAAAAAAATTACACTTATTGGGCTCGGTGTGTAGAGGTCTTCTTGCGAGGTAAAGGTTTATTTAATCACTTGGTTTTAGACAAACCATCTACGAAGTCTTCAGAAAGTGAGTCTACTATCATCGATCGATGGGATCAAGAGGATAACGCCATAATTGGACTTATGATCGGTAGTATTGAGCCTCATATCGGCTCTTCATCCCTCTATATGACTACTGTTAAACAAATTTGGGAGCATCTCAAACACATACATTCTGGAACTGGAAATGTTACTCGGATATATGAGACGTGTAAGCAATACCTCGAGCTTGAGAAGGGATCATTCAGCCTTGTTGAATATTATAATAAGCTTTTAGCTGTGTGCCAAGAGAGAAATGTACATCAACCTCTATCTCTTGATTTGAAGGTTATGGAAAAACAGCGTGAAGACATCGATGTTGTTAAATTCCTTATTGGTCTTCCACCAGAGTTTGAAGCAGTTCGGACACAGATATTAGGTGGAAAGGAGCTTCCCAGTATTGCAGAGACATTCTCTCGTATTCAGCGTTCTACCTTATCAGATAATATGCTCAATGGAGATCGTTCTGCTTTTATTGCGCGGGGTGGCTCATTTAGGGATGGACGTCATAGTCGTGGTGGACGTGGTTTTATCCCTCGAGGTGGACGGGACAACAGAGGGATTGGTCGTTCGGGAAATCGTGACCCTCGAAAATGTACTCACTGTGGTCGTATAGGTCACTCCATTGATTATTGTTGGGATGTACACAGCAAACCATCTGGATCTGCCAATCAGGTCTCATCTAATGAAGCCCATAATACTGTATCTGGACCAGTGGCTAACTCCAGTTCCACATCCGAACTCGACTTTTTATCTATACCACGGGATGAGTATACTGAGTTCTTAGCCCACAAGCGTGCCACTTCCAATTCTATGGCTACTCTTGCTCAGTCAGGTACCGAATCTTCTCACTGTCTATTGTCATCCTCTCACAATCCATGGATTATAGAT